ATGAAGCTAGCTGTCTGTGATGTTTCACGCCTTTCCCCAAACGTTCCTTTCCATGATAAATATGTTTAAGAAATGGGGTTAATATTGTGCCATGCTGATGGAAAAATGTTATCACAGGACTGCATGTGTGAAAAACAGTTTAACAATTATGTTAAAAAGTGCATATTGGACAACCATGTTTTGCTTAAAGGAAAATAATCCGTAACTAACTTAAGGGACCGTATAAGCAAGTCAATATTGTCTGGGGAAACATCTCGCTGACGGAACATGGTGTGTTTGGATCGAGTAGAAGAAACATGTCCTAAGTGTGAGTAAGTCCAAGGTCTGACCAGGATAAATTGGTGATCACTGATCACTGAGAGAGAAAACGTTTTGATAGAAAATGTGTCCGTGGCATTTGTGATTATATTAGCTAGATGAGAGATACCTAATTTATAAGTTCCACACGTTGTGTCAACAATCGGGGAATGGGTATATCCGATTTATGTATTTTTGGTAGACCGTGAAATCATCCCGGTCTATTGGTTTTGCTGCCAATGAAAACCACGACGGTTTACCGAGTTTTTCTTTCCAGCTTGATAAGTATTTGTTTGCGCAAGCTTTTGTTTTGTTCGAAAGTGGCATTGACCTTTTTGTCATCAATTCTTTCATATGGTCCGTTTTCAAGGTGCTCCAAAACTTTTGATTCATAATCTGTTTTATCTAGTATGACCGTGACATTCCGTTGTCGGCTTTTGTGATCTAATCCCGATTCTCCTTTATGTTACAAGTATAATCGAACGAAGAAGGGCACACGCTTGCGAATCATGCCAGTCTCGACAAAAATGCAACCTTCCAAATGTGATGAACGAAACAACAACCGGAAGAAAACAGAAAATGAACTCTCGACAACCACTGGTTATGAATCCGGAAAATCGCATGAAAAACCTATCAAACAGAATTCTGATGCCCATACAATTACGACTATTCCAGAGGGGTCTCGATTTCTACCTTCACAGAAAATCCTTGATGGCACAAGAAGTTATTCCCGCTCGAGAACAGGCCTTGTCCTTGCCACAACAATCGGAGTTGTCCATGTTTGCAATATTAATGAAATAACGCTGTTCTGCTCTATTCGTTCGATCGTCTTCAACACGTCCATATGCGAAAAGATTTATCATCATCGACCAACAGCACTGTTTCAGAAACGCTCATTGATCCCGTATTTTAAGTCTCATCGTACTCACAGCTTGCGATTTCTTCAGTGGGATCGAATGACGATTCATTCACACGTGAGGATGAGGATTGTTCCAGTGTTCTCACTTCCATCCTCCGTGAATAGACAGACTAATTTGTGAATCCAGGAATCAAATAGGCATAAAAATGTTATCCATGCGTGTTTGATAGAATGATGATTCATGACAGATTATATAGCCTTGCAAACCGCGGAGACGTGGAGTTTTGAAAGTTTTCAAATTAGGGAGTGATTATCTTTTTCCAATCATGCGACCACAAAGCAGTCACGTGACCCGTTATTTGGATTTCGTGTCTAAATAAGCTGTTCGTCATTTGAAGCTTCTTCTTACAGTTGCATCTAATGTAATATTTGGTAATATCTGATTCCTTAGGACATAGGAGAAACTAGAATTGTGCCGCATAGAAATAACTTTGAATTTCGAAACTTTAAACTCGATGCCATTGGCGATTGAACATCGATGGACTGCATCAATCGTTTTTCGGATTGCTATATAATCCTCTGGATGTGATACAATTCTCCAGATCTTAGCGTCGTCCGCAAATAGTAGTGTATTAGGCCCCCAGGACATGTGAAAGGTCGTTTATAAATGCTAGATAAAGATGAGGGCCCGGTACGGATCCTTGAGGAACCCTTCGGGTAGTGGTGATTTTCTCAGATAGGGAATCACCAACACTAACTAACATGGCTTCGTCAGTGCTGTTTGGTGAATGCAGAGTGATAAAACGCGCACTAGGCGTGGAATGTGTTGTGTCAGTATCGGTTTCCGTTTTCCGGCTATGCTGGGATCCAGTATTATGTGGCGGTCTCAGGTGCAGTTCCGGCGGACCTATTTTTCAATGTTCCCTACACGACTGCAGTATGGAGTTGGCCATTTCTGGCGTTCCGAGGGTCACTTTGATTATTCTCGAGCCGTTCCCGTGGTAGTTCGGTTAGCTGGGTAAACGATTCATTACCGTAGTAACAACCTGGGAACAATTAATTAGTCCTTGAATGAAACTCCATTACTTTCAATTGTATTGTTGGCATTGGGATTCATCTAGATCATTGTGGTGATCCTGTAACGAGTATGCACGCATCGCGGTACAGTTTCCAGGTAACCAATCAAGAAGCGGGATAGCCGACCAACCCTGTGGTCTCAATTGGCATCATCCGGATTGGCTGATTTCAAGAGGGCAAACAGATAAACCATATCCTTGTCGATTGGACATTCAAGAATCGACCAATGATTGTTTGTTGCTTGTATTATATATTTCCATGATTTTCTGAATAGAATTAACTGTACCCACAGCTCATCTTGGTTCTACCTGACTTTGCGCTATTCTGTGGGTTTTCAGTCCGATACCGAGTTTGCGCTATTCGATTTCGATTCCTATTCCGAATACTACAATCATCCAGTTGAGGGAGTTCATGAATTAGAACAACCCGTTTGTTCCCCAATTTCCGAGCATTTGTTGGGTTAGTGCGTTATTGACCACGTTCCGTCTAGGGCCTATCTAGAAGTATTCTTGAACTACACGAATATTTCTTAAGAAGGCAAATAGAGACACGAACGTTTTTCAGATCCTTCTCGTTTACAAATGTTACGCGAGTCAAACGTGGCTCCCCAGCATGGGGCGACGATGGATGGAAAAACAGCAGCACGATTCCAACTGGGTAAACGTCAACCCAGCGATCAAGCTACTCTCCTTGTTTATCTCGCAGTGTATTTCTTAAGGGCTCTGGTAAGTTGGCGCAAATAGCTCTTATTTCGGGGTCGCAAATTGCTTTTTTTTATCTTCAAGACCGGTGTGTGCGCCTGAATAATGGATGCTTTAGGCTCCATGATTTGTGCAGATTCTTGATCTCTGGTATTACCCTGTACTGTCTTTGCTTCTTCTTCAAGTTTAGGACTGAGGATTGGCAGCGCTGTAGTGGAGCTTTTAAGAAAGCAACGAAGTCTTCTTGTTGGTCTATAAACTGCACTCGTAGGGTTGACTGAGCGCAAAAAACCGTTATCTTTTCTCCCAGTAAAGTTATTTTAATTTCGCTTTTTGCTTCGCTGCCGATAGTGGATTTCGAAACTATTCTGTCACGTGTTTCTGTGGTAATCGGGATAATACTGAATGTAGAAATACAAGAATCCGTAAT